GCATTTGGCCCAGGTCTGGTTTCAGCTATGTCTGGGAAGCTGGCCCATATCTCTTAACTGATGTTTTCTGATCATATGTATATATGTACACACATATATACATACATAGATACACATATATGTGTATACTTTCATATACATATATCTATAGGTCCCAGCACGCACCATGAACCCCCCTTTTCTCTTGGAAGATGCCAAATGAAAAGGGGGGCGGAAGACGCGCGCTGCAACCGTGGAGGAAGAAGTGTGGCAGAAAGACTGGTTGTGCGATGGAGAAGGCAGGTGTGGAGTATCGGGTGGTGCGTTGGGGACGGAGGGTGCGGAGTACTGGATGGTGTGTAGGAGACGGAGGGAGTGGAGTACAAGGTTATTGTCAAGTTCAGCTTGGGGAGGGAGCCTGTTGAGTATCGGGTGGTGTGTTGGAGACGGAGGGTGTTGAGTACTGGATGGTGTGTAGGAGGCGGAGGGAGTTGAGTAGAAGGGTATTTTCAAGTTCAGCTTTGGGAGGGAGCCTGTTGAGTATCGGGTGGTGTGTTGGAGACGGAGGGAGTGGAGTACAAGGTTATTTTCAAGTTCAGCTTGGGGAGGGAGCCTGTGGAGTATCGGGTGGTGTGTTGGAGACAGAGGGTTTTGAGTACTGGAAGGTGTGTAGGAGACGGAGGGAGTTGAGTAGACGGGTATGTTCAAGTTCAGGTTTGGGAGGGAGCCTGTTGAGTATCGGGTGGTGTGTTGGAGACGGAGGGTTTTGAGTGCTGGATGGTGTGTTGGAGACGGAGGGAGTTGAGTAGAAGGTTATTTTCAAGTTCAGCTTTGGGATGGAGCCTGTTGAGTATCGGGTGGTGTGTTGGAGACGGAGGGAGTTGAGTAGAAGGGTATTTTCAAGTTCAGCTTGGGGAGGGAGCCTGTGGAGTATCGGGTGGTGTGTTGGAGACGGAGGGTTTTGAGTACTGGATGGTATGTTGGAGACGGAGGGAGTTGAGTAGAAGGGTATTTTCAAGTTCAGCTTTGGGAGGGAGCCTGTTGAGTATCGGGTGGTGTGTTGGAGACGGAGGGAGTTGAGTAGAAGGGTATTTTCAAGTTCAGCTTGGGGAGGGAGCCTGTGGAGTATCGGGTGGTGTGTTGGAGACGGAGGGTTTTGAGTACTGGATGGTGTGTTGGAGACGGAGGGAGTTGAGCAGAAGGTTACTGTCAAGTTCAAAATGAGTTGAGAAAGTCTTCCAACAATGAGCCTCAAAATGAAGTCGGAAATCGTAGAACTCATGTAGAATTTATATATAATCTGGAGAAAGGGGGGCTCTTGGTGCGTGCGGAGGGCTAGATGTATATGTATATATATATAGATCTATTCATCTATCTATCTATATATATATCTATATATCTATCTATCTATCTATATATATATCTATATGTATATATCTATCTACATATATATATGTATATATCTATATATATATATATCTATCTATTTGTCTATCTATCTATCTATCTATCTATCTATCTATATATCTATCTATCTATCTATATAGCTATCTATCTATCTATCTATCTATCTATCTATATATCTATCTATCTATCTATCTATCTATCTATATATATACATAGCTGTAGTTTACCAGAGTTTCGTGCGGATTTCCTGGATCGGCGTCGGGCCTCCTAGGCGGCGCCTGCGGCCCCGCTCCGCACGCCAGGGGGGGCCCAGCGCCGATCCAAGACATTTGCGGGGAGGTCCGAGAAATGATGCCATGCCTTGTTTTGGTTTGCCCCTCTGGGGAAGACTCAGACGAGGAAAAGGTGCCCATACCGCTGCCCTCTCTTCGGTTTCGCATGTTGGGGCCTCCCGCGAGGCCCTCGTCGCCAACGCTGGATTCGCGTCGATATCCTCGTCCGAACGCGCACCGGGAGAGGTCCGTGGAGTAGCGGTGTCGGCAGCGGCGAGCGAGGAGGTGAAATGAGAATGAGAGGGCTCTTTCAGAAGGCGGCGGGGCTTCTGAGAAGCCGCATGGCCTTCTGAGAGGTGATCTGCGTCTTCGGGAAAAGCCTTGAAAACTTTTTAGAAGGCTGGGGGACTTCGGAGTCTTCTGAGAAGGTCCGCCCCTTCGCACTTCCCCCTAGGCTGGCCGCCGTGTTCTCTTCTGTTTCCTTTGGGAAACAGAAGCGAGACAGGGCCGTCGCAATTGTTCTCCATTGCCCAAGTCTTGCGGGCAAGACGAACCTCCATATCCCCTTCGTCGTGGACTTTCGGGCTTAATCAACCAGCTTGATGTTCTAAGAACTCTGTTTTTGTTATGATAACATTTTCTCTGGGGTTCTAAGAACAATTTCGCAGTCGGCACCTGCCTGCAAGTCTGAGGGGAAGTCGGCCACGCGCAGAGGGGGGTTCGGGGAGCCTGAGGGAAATGCTTCTTAGAAGCACCCTTGCTTCTTAGAAGCCTTCCCCCCTCCCTCTGGCCCTACGCCCCTGTGCGCGCCGCCCTAGCCGGGCCCCAAGTGTGCCTGGCCCAGGTGCCCCTAGGATTTCCAAGGAGGCCCCCACGGCCTCCAGAGCACCCCTCACGTGGTTCAGAGGGCTCCAAAGCGCGAATCTTGACGCACTTTGGGCCAGGATAACCTCTAGCAACACCCGGACAGCCAAGGAAGGTCCCCACTGGGGGGCCCCCAAGAAAGGGCCCCCGAGGGGGACCTCATGGGATCAGCCAGCCGCCGCGGGCGCAAACTTGTGGAGGAGCTTTGCTTCAAGACGGCGTTGCGAACGGTTTTGCGTTCGAGCTTTCGCGGTCGCGGCTGTCGCGAACGCCGCGGGCGCGAAACCGCTTCCCCCACCCCCTCCCTGTCCCCCTCGTCATTGCCCTCTCTTCTCCGATCCCCTTGTGCGTGCCGCCAAGGAGGGGCCCCCACCTGGGAGCGTGGCCGCCGCCGCCCGCGCTCGCCGCGCGGTGGGAGGCCCGGCCCGGCTTCCGGGTCGACGGGCACAACAATTACCGGCTGAACGTGCCGGAGGCCAGCCCCGCGCCCGGGCTGGCCGGCTTTCGTCGCCATGGGGGAGTGTGGCCCATCCCGCAGCCCCACAGGGAGCCGACAGGTCTCGCTTGGATGTGCATCAGACACCACTCCGCGGGGCCCCCAAAAAGCCGCGAACGTTGCGACAGGTCCGCAGCTCGCAGCCCTACAGGGGACAAGGAGGTCGATTTTGGATGTGTGAAAACGACTTCTCCGCTGGTCCCGCCCCAGAACCCGCAATGTTTGCTACAGGTTCGCGGTTCGCAGCCCCCCAGGGAGCCGAGAGGTTTAGCCTGGATTTGTTCAAGACAGCGCTCTGCTCGGCAGGAACCCACGAAAGTAGCGACGGCGTCGCACTTCGCAGCCCCCCATGGATCTATTTTGTTTGTGCATCAGACACCAGCGAGAGTCTCGCAGTTCGCAGCCCCCTAGGGACGGCGAGCTTAAGACAGTTTCGATGTTCGCAGCCTCCAGCAGGGAGAAGGAGGAGAAGGAGGAGGGGGGGACGAGGAGGAGGAGGAGGAGGAGGAGGAGGAGAAGGAGGAGGTGGAGGAGAAGGAGGAGGAGGAGAAGAAGGAGGAGGAGGAAAAGGAGGAGGAGGAGGAGGAGGAGGAGGGGGGAGAAGCTGGAGGTGCAAGTGAAGGAGGAGTGGGGAGGAGGTGGATGGGAGAGGAGAAGACTTGGAGACCACAGTGATCGATTCGAGGCGTGGAACAAGCCATGATGCTGTTGAGGTGAACGGGTGGGAGGGAGAGAGAGAGAGAGAGACAGAGAGAGAGAGAGACACACGTAAGGAATGATATATATATATATAGAGAGAGAGAGAGAGAGAGAGAGAGAGAGAGAGCGATATATATAGAGAGAGAGTCAACAACACAACAAAAATAGAGACACAGAGAGAGAGAGAGAGATACGGAAGGACAGACAGAGAGAGAGAGGGAAAGGGAGAGGGAGGGAGAGAGAGAGGGGAGAGGGAGAGGGTGAGAGAGGTGGACAGAGAGAGAGAGAGAGAGGCAGAGATAACGAAAGAGAGAGAGAGAGAAACCATAAGCCAAGGTTTGTCGCTGAGCCCTCTCAGCTCGATGCGGGAGTGCTCCTCTCTGGAAAGGCACGTCAGCTACACGCTCAGCTTTCTAGCGCTGCTTGGGGGTGAGACCGCGCTCCATTGGGCGTCAAAGGGGCTATGGATCACGGGGGCCGGAAGGACGAGAGGAGGGGGCGTTCAAAACCCGTTCTCTTCCTAATAAGGAGTGTGCGTTTGGGAGGCGAGAGAGAGAGGGAGAGCCACAAAGAGAGAGAGAGAGAGAGGGAGAGGTACATCTAGAGAGAGAGAAGACACCCGAAACGTTTTCCTGCCAACTCGTTGGGCTCCGTATCATCACGCTGCGTTTTGCGTGTTGCGTATCGAGGCAGCTAAGCGTAGGCGGTAATAGACTGGACTCAGGGTGTTCCAACCTACTTTAGCTTGGACCACCAGCAAGAACTTCGAGCAACAAGAAAGTACCGAAGCTGGACGGTTTTCACTTATCGGATCCTGGGATACATTACTCACTTGACACTTCGCTAGCGTGGCGCGCAGACAATGGTTCGATACTTTTTCTGTGTGCTCGAATTTAGTTCAGGGGTGTTGTTCTTAAGTACGAGTGCTGACCACATAAGACTTGACACGAGCGCACAGTTCGTCGCCTTGCTCACGAAGCGCCTTCTCGTTCTCCTCCATACCCTTGACACGCAGGGAATTGGCGAACTCGGGGTCAAAGCGAGCCAATCGCTTGCATTGGCGCTCGATTGTTTCGGCCTTCTGTTAAGCCTCGTCAGCATGTGTGGGCCAGGGCCCCCCCCCCAATTGCCGTAGTAGGAGTGGTTGTTGTAGGTGTTGTAGCAAAGTTTGTCGCCCCTCATTTGGTCGTTGCCGCCGCTGGAACAGGGGTACTCATTGCTGCAGCTCGCCGTGCCGCCGTAGTTGCCCTTCTACACCCTTGGACGAGCCCCTCGGTGGCCAGAAGACACGCGGGTTTCTTAGAATGCCACGTCTTTTGCCGCCCATCACAGCCCCAGATGATAGGGCACCGAGGCGGCGCCATCTGGAGCACAAGAACTGGGACCTTTGCGCCGCCAAACTCCACGGCAGGCAGAACACGCACGGATCAAGCACAGTGGATATTGCAGCAAATGCAATCCCAGAGCCAGTTCCAAGAACCAGACAACAGCCACAATTGGTTCCAATACCTTTGTTGTAGCTTGGCAGGCCCTTCCCTCGAGAAGGATGTAGAGAGTCCCGAGGTTACGATGTAAAGCGCCCGCCCATGGAAGAATGGTGGAACCCATCGCAGACCTCGGAGACCCCATAGAGCCAAGGCCTGGCAGAGCTTGTCGGATCAATCACCACGTGAGGGGCACACTGCCCTGTCAATCGGAACTCACCGCTGGACGCACGACTCCACGCAATCCAGAGTGCAGGCAGGAGATGCTGACAGCGTAGGTGGCGGGTATGAACTTTGCCGTGCACGGGCGGCAGAAATCAGTGCTCAGTGTGATGGCGTCGTCTACAAGTCTCTTGCCACGGACAGCGAAGCCGCTGCAAGGATCGGACGGACACCCAGCCTTCACATACCTGGACCAGTCCCGCTTCGCCTGCTCTTCCTGGACCGCTTGCAAGACACTCAAGCGTATTCCCGATAATTCGCCTCCTATACAGATGCCCTCGAGCTCGTACGCGTGACCAGCGATGCTTATCATTGCTCACCCAGCAGTAAGAGAGGTGACACAATTGTATCAACGCCGCGCTGATCATGAACCATCCGCGCGGTACAGCGCTCTTCGTTTCCACAATCGAAATTACTTCGAGTTCTTGACCACTCTGCCTGAGACTCGATGGGCACGCCGATGAAATCCTTCAGGTGCTTCCATGCTGTGGCGATCGCGCACGCAGAGCACTGCTCGTAGGCCTAGTCGGCGTCGCCAGCCACGATCCCAAGCGGCTCCTTGGGGCGCGGACGAGGATAAATCAGTGCCAGAGCGTTCCGGAACGCTCTCAGAGAGTTCCGGAACACTCTGAGAAGGCCGCGGCGCCCGAGACATCCTCCAGAGCCGCTGGATCTCAGAGATCTTCGTTTTATCCTCACCCGACTTTGCCCACGTCATGCTTTCGTCTTACCAGGCGCTGCCCAGATCCCCCGCTCGGCAGCTCAGCTCGAGCTGCTCGGAGCGCTGGCAAGGCGTCGCCCATGTTGAACACCTCGCCGGCCCACGCACTCGAAGCCGACAGCGCCTGGACAACCGCGGCGGAGGCACGAGGCGCTCGCTCGGGAGGGGCTCGGGAGGCTCTGGCAGGACGCCCCAAGAGGCCGAGGAGGAGGAGGACGACGACGAGGACGAGGAGGTAGGGGGAAAAGGAGGTGAGAGGACGAGGACGGTGAGAGGGTGGAAGGGGATGGCGACGACGAAGACGATCACGAGGAGCACGACGCGGCGGAGGCACGAGTGCCCAGGCTTCCTGCACCAATGGCTCGGGACGATCGGCATGGGTGCGGGAAGAATGGGCACAAAGACCGACACCAGACCATGATCATTTTGAACATGACTCGCTGCTGGTTTCGCTGCGGACGCTGTCCGTTTCTGAAGCAGAAGACCGCCTGCTCAACAGCGGCCGTTGTTGGTTTTGGACAACATCTGTTGTTTGGCATAGTGTTTTTTTCCGCACCAAGTTCGGGCGCCCAAAACCATGAGGGGGAGAGGCCCCCCCACTTGCTGGACGGCTTCTGAGAGGAGGCAAAGGCACCGATTCTGCTACCCGTGCCTCGTTCTCGCGTTGTTGGGCCTCCTGGGACGCCCTCGTCACCGCTGTTGGACTCGCCCCGGAGTTCTAGCCAGGACGCACCCTGAGAGCGGTCAGGGTGCCTTTTTGGTTTCCCAGACTAGCGCGGCACAGAGGAAAGGGCGCTGTCCCGAGACCAGGGCCGGACCCAAACGGCGTTTTGGCGACTTCGTGGGCCGTTTCCGTTTCGGCTTCGTTTTGCGGTAGAAGGCGGGCTGAAGACACAGCGAGGGAAAACAAAAGCAAATCGAAAACGACAACCTCCGTGCAGGTTCAGCCCTGCCCGAGACCCCCCCGCGGGCGTTCCAAAGGTCTGCCGGGCTCGCCGCAGCACTCCTCCCCGACCACGGGAGGCGCTGCCCGCTCTCGGGGTGCGCGACCCGCTCGGGCGGCAGCCGCCTCCGCCCGCGCAGCCGGGCAAGACAGGCGCGCCCGGGCGCGGGCCCGCGGCCGTGCGCGGGCCGGCTGCACGGAGACGGCCGTCGCAGGCCTACCGGTGGACACCAGCACCACTGTCGGCGGTGTGCCTCCGCGGAGGGAAGAAGATCTCGATCTCGGCCACGGTGGTCAGATTCTGGCTTCCAAGGTGACCGAAATATGATCACCAGCACCGAAGCCTAGTATCATGTTCCCCCTGTGGGGGCAACGCCCTGTGTTGGTGTTGGCGCCCACTTCCAGGCCTCCAAATTTGGACGGAGCTTCCATGCCCGGCGGGGAGCGAGGGGGGAAAGCGAGGAAGGGCGGGCAGTCTCAGAAGGCTCGGAAGTCCCCTGGCCTTCTGGGGAACTGCCTAAGCCTTCCTGGAAGACTCAGAGCACTTCGCAGAAGGCGCGAGGACTTCTGAGAAGTCCCGCCGCCTTCTGAGAAGGCCTTCTCCTTCTCACTTCCCTCCCTCGCTCGCCTCCGACATATTGGGTCCAACACAATCGAATCCAAAACGAACCGCAACGTGTCAGACGAATGGACTTGCCAAACCTGGTTCGGGATCTGATCTCCGACCATGATCACCTCATCTCTGCCGAGATTGCCGGAGAGCTCCAGAAGGAGGCGCCGGGGTCACCTGCAGCGCAGCCGATTCCATCTTCTCTCAGATCTCGTGGCCGACGCGGCCTCAGAGCCGAGGGTGAATGCGGCGACGCGCCGCCGTCCAAGGATCAACATCTTCTCGCAAGTGTTTGGCGATATGGGGCCCACTTCGGAAGACGCCGTCCTCCTCGAAGTGCTGCCAAACGGGGAGACGGTAATGGACGTTCGCGATCCAAACTCACCGAAACGGACTTCAGCACCTTCGTCCTGAAGACCTTCGTGGCTGAGACGGCATCCTTCCAAACATCGGCCTTTTTATACGCAAGTCGGATTCGAGGACGTATCCAACGTCGATAAGCAGCCAATCGTTGCGCCTGAAGAATTACTTGAAAATGAGGGCGAAAAACATCAGAGCACGCTTCCGAACTACATTCGTGGCGAATTGAAAGAATTGGAACTCACAGACTGGGCAGCCCGACGCCCTTCATGGGCAGGTCTGTGCCCAGTGTCGCTGCATACACTCGGTGGTGCGAAGTCAACAGCTGCGGTGCCCGAGAGGCTGCTTGGAGAGAAAGGTCGGCCAACAGCGTCTTCGTCCACCTATGGACGGACAGGCTATTCCGCCGGGAGGAGCACCACGATAAATAGTAAAGCCTCGCGCTCGAAGCTGACGATGAAGAACGGCCCCATCGTCGCTGTCAGCGAATTCCACTCCCCTTGCTGGCGCGGGCACGCTGCCCCGAGAGGCCCTTGGGCCGAACGAGACCCAGGAAGGCGATCAGCTATAGACTTCACGTTCTTCTGCGTGGGAATCGTTGGGAAGGCAGGCAGCCAACGAAAAGTCGGAGTCCACCTGCGAGGCTCTCTTCTCCAAGCCGGGGGGCGCCGTCGAGGGCGGGATCCACGTCGGCCGAACGTCTTCGCATTGCCTCTTTGACCTCTATGGACGCTCTTTCGCTCTGACCTGCCTGTGTCGCACTCGGCGAGGCTCGCTGGATCTCAACTCTTTCAAGATGCAGCGCACCAAATATCGAGGGTAAGAACAGCACGTGGAGCAATAATACACTCCCATGGCGTCGCCTCAACAACTTGTAGCTCGGCCTGCCGCCAGGGCCAACATGCCGATTGAAGAGCCTCCTGTAGTGTTCCCGGAGGCGCCGCGCAAGCTTGTCAGGTATCGGTGATCAAGCACCGTCTTGCGAAAGGGCACACGCACACACGCATACGAGCCCATGGCATAAACGCCAGACTTCAGCAGTTCCACTGGGCAATCAGCCGCCTGCTTGTGAAATAGAACATGTCAGAATCCACTGCGAGTTGCACGAATCCGGTTAGGTGGATGGAAGGGCAGGGCCTCACGAGCCCATGGTCGAAGCCAGGATTGTGCCAGCTCCCATTTCATGCGTGCGATCCTCGACAACGTCACGAGGTGCATGGCGAGGAACATCTTCCAGCGGCCTAGCAGCACAGCGCTCCGAGCTAACGGCGTAGGCCAGCGACAGACTTCAGAATCGCTTGCGCTCGCCTGCCCGACCAGGTAGCCAACCCATAGTGCTCGCAAGAAGGAGATTTGTCGTCGGCAGCAACCCTGGAGTCGGTCGCTCGTCGCTCGCGGCATCCCCTCGCGAACAAAGCAATGGACGCGGTACCGTGGAGAACGGCCGTGTCCTGGACGACGAACATGACGTCGCCAACGTTGCGCAAGTCTCCGATCCAAACAATAGTACTAGCCAGACTGAATACGAATAATACTCATGTGCTCGATCACGTTGATGAACACGGGCCTCCAGTGACTGTCGCTTGGTTGGGGGCCGGAGTCCACAAGAGTGACGAGAGAGTCTTGTTGTTGAGCCTTCTTCTCCAATTCGATGGGTAGAGTAACTGACTTTCGGAAAGAGATGGACAGATACAAAGAAGCTAAATGGGAGAAAGATAGAGATAGGGAGAGAGAGGTAGAGAGATAACAAGCCTTTGGGCAGTGCGGCCAGCTGCGGGGCAGGTGAGGCCTGGTTAGGGTCATCGTCGCTGGTCATTGGCCTCCTTCCTGTTCGCGCATACTTGCTCTGCGGGATGGTGAGCGTGAGAGAGAGAGCGAGAGACAGAGAGAGAGAGAGAACAGTCAAACAAGAAGAGACAGAGAGAGGAAGGGAAGAAGAGAGTGAGGGAGGGAGAGAGAGAGAGAGAGGGAGAGCGAGAGAGAAAGAGAGAGAGAGAGTATGAGAGAGAGAGCGAGAGAGAGAACGAAAGAGAGTGCGAGAGGAAGGGAGGGAGGGAGGGAGAGAGAGTGATAGCGAGAGGCACAGAGAGAGAGTGGCATATAAAGAGAGAGTGAGAGAGAGAGACAGGAAGAAAGAAAGCGAGAGAAAGAGAGATCGAGCGAGGGACACCTATACGACCACCCTTCGGATGATAAGGAGGTCGTTCGGGGGAGAAAAAAAGACTGGACACCGACGAGACACCACGGCACATTGACGGGACATCACGGGACATTATCGGGACACCATCGGGGCATCAATCGATGTCATGTTCGATTTCATTATCGATCTCATGATCGGTTTTACTATCGATCTCACTCGTTCGATCTCACTATCGATCTCACTATTGGCCTCAATCTCGAATTCACTATCGATCCCATCACGGGACACCGACGGGACACCAACAGGACGCCGACGGAACACCAACGGGACGCCGACGGGTCACCGAGGGGACACCGACGAGACACCACCAGAACACCGACGGGACACCAACAGGGCATCAATCAATTCCCTTCTCGATCTCACATCTCACATCTCACTATCGACCTCACGACGGAACAGCGACGGGACAGCGACGATACAGAGGCGGGACAGCCAGGGAACGCCAACGGGACACCGACGGGACACAGACGGAACAACGAGGGGACACCACGGCGGGGCCACCGCCCGCTCACCGCGGGGGAAAGGCGGACAGCGACGGGACACCAAGGCGGGACAACTCGGCCACCCCCCCCCCGCCGGGGAGAGGAGGGGCGGTCAACGGCTTTGACCCGCCCTAGCCACGACAGGAATCCCGCCCGCACGCACGACAAGAACCCGAAACCGAAACCGAGTCCCCGGTGGGGTGCTCTCTGTTCCACTTCGATCTCCCCCCCAAACCCCTGATAGTGTGTAGACATCTGTTCTATCTGTGTCTATACATTTTGTATAGAAAGGGAAAGGCAGGAATTAATACAGAGAGAGGCAGGGGGAGAGAGAGCGAGAGGGACAGAGAGAGAGAGGGAAAGAGACACTGAGAGCGAGTGCGAGAGAGAGAGGGAGGGAGACAAGGAGCGAAAGAGGCCGAGCGTGAGTGAAGAGCCGGGCAAGCGAGGCGCGTGCCGCACCAAGGCGAGCCTGTGGGAGAAGGTCCCAGGGGAGCGGGTGGCGAGCCGACTCATGGTGGGCAACCAGACGGAAGTGATGCCGCTCGCAAAGGCGCCCGCGGGCGGGACACACATCCACATCATATCAGATTGTCTTCCCGTCGCCACCCGGAACGGTCTCCAGTGGCGATCAGGTGGCACATGGGCGTCGTCAACATGTGCGTCCGCTTTGGCCACTGCCCCCAGTCGCGAGCGGGGGCACATGCGCATCGCACTTCACTGTCATCTTGGGAACTCATGTGGAATCGTCTCAAGGGGAGATCAGGTGGCACATTGGCCACGACAGCTCTTGCGCCTGCTTTGGCCAATGCCCTTCCTTCGCGAGCGGGAAACACACATCCACATCGCACCGTAGTGCTCTCCTGGCGCCTCACGTGGGACGGTCTCCAGGGGCGAGCAGGCGGCACCTTGGCGTCGACAGCAATTGCGCCCGCCCTGGCCACAGCCTCCAGCGTTGGCGCGCACAGATCCGTATTACTTATTAGTGGACACTCTTACTTTGCTGAAGAACTAGCCGACATCCGCCCAATCCGGGGCCTCCCATCCTACCCAATAACCGAAATCAGAGTGAGGGGGCCGAACGGTCATTCATTGTCCCTGGGTGCGTGGCTGAAGTGGGGATCCGTGGTGAGGATTATGCTTGTTGCGTTGTTGTTGTTGCTGGTGCTGCTGTTGGTGTTGTTGTTGTTGTTGCTGTTGTTGTTGTTGTTGTTATTGTTGTTGCTGTTGCTGTTGCTGTTGCTGTTGCTGTTGTTGTTGTTGTTGTTGTTGTTGTTGTTGAACATTATTAATTCTAAAGAATAATTATTGTTGGGGCCCCTGGTGCACGGCCCCCCTGCGCCGCCTAGGCCGCAGCTACATTTTCATCATTTTCGTGAGGAAGCCTCAGGTAATTCGATGTGATCAAGATCCGGTTGTTTTGTTCCCCCCCGCTTTCCCTTGCAAAAAACACTATAAAATGACATTTCTTGTTCTAATATAATCAAATTTCAAGAATCCCTTGCAAAAAATAAGGTAAAGTGGACATTCGCGCGCGCAAGACGAAATCCTTCCAAAAGCTTAGTGTTCGGAAGCGATTTTAACATAAAAACATCAAAAAACCAATGGTTTTTCAACAAAAAATGTCAAAATCTCATCCCGCGCGCTCTTGCGGATTCGTAGGAAACCCAACACTTTTTAAACATTTCTGTCAAACGGGCTTTTGCGAGCAACTTTTTCGAACTTCTGCGACAACGGTTGCGCACCTGCCAGGGCCATCATCCCTGTCAAATAATACCATGCGGGACACATTCGTTTTTTCTTCGCGCGCGCACGCCGAAATCTCCAAAAACCATTGGGCTTCTTAAGAATTTTAGCACCGCGCATCATAAAATCACACGAATCGCACCGTAGGTCCTCGAAAAACACCTGCACGACTTTTCAAAATTTCCACCCGCGCGCGCTGTCCGAATCCTAGTTCTGTGGGTGTGTACCAAGTTCTGTGGGTGTGTACCCCACGCCAGTGTAGTAGCCACGGTCGTCCGCACGCCACGAAGTGAAGTGTCCCAACGTCATAGGGCGGGAAGCTGGGTTTGGGTGGTCGCGAAGAGTCGTTTGGATATTTGGTAGAGCTTGTAATGCCCCCCCACGAAGTGGGGGTATTGCCTGGTGTCGTATGAAAACCCTGGCACTGGGGAGAACACCACGCGTTCGGGTAAAATGATTGTTGTTGTTGTTGTTGTTGTTGTTGTTGTTGTTGTTGTTGTTGTTGTTGTTGTTGTTGAATATGCATGTCTAGAAAATAATTATTGTTGATCTCCAGAGGCGGTTCCGGGCGCTCGCGTCTCGACGCTGGCTGCACTTTCTCTGAAAACGAGGCTCCCGCTCGAGCGTTGGCTTGACCCTGAAAGTGGGCTCTGGGAGGCCCTGCTACGACAACAACAGCTCCCGCTTGATACTTCCTCACAATTTACTTCGAGACACCCTGGCCAGAGAATCCTCCGAACTCAGGAACAGCGCTCTCGCTCGAGACTGCCTCGCAATTCAATCAAGTTGGCGGGGGCCCAGTCACGACGACAAAGGCTCCTGCTCGTTACTTCCTCACGATTTAGTCCGAGAGTTCCTGGCCAAGAAGGCCCCCGAACTCAGAAACGGCGCCCTTGCTCGAGACACTCCCGTAATGCAGGCAAGTTGGTGGAGGCCTGGGCACGGCGACAAGGGCTCCCGTTCGATATTTCTCCATCGGTATTCCGAAAGGCCTTGGCCAGAGAGGCCCCCGAACTCAGGAACGGCGTTTTCGCTCGAGACTTCACACTTCAGTCAGTGGCCGACAAGGAAGAGATTCCCCCCGAATGGGGGTGCAATCGAAGACGAACTGGGCGGGTATCGAGGGTTGGGGTATACGGAATGCAAGACACGCGTGCCAGTAAGAGCGATCAGTCTTAAAATGATTGTTGTTGTCGTTTAAGGATAATCACTAAACAGTTATTATTGTTGGACCCCTCACAGGCGCCCTGGCGCTTTCGCCGAAGCGCTGGGTGCATTTTCATTGAAAACGAGGCTCGCTCTCAAGCGGCTTGGGGGGCCACCAAAACCAGCCCCCAACAACAACAACGATCCCGTTCGAGACGCCCTCTTTTTTTACTCAGGGCCGGTGCTCTTGCTCGCCGCCGACAGCAGCCGCCTCAACAAAACCAGCGCTCCCTCTCGAGATTTCCTCCCGTTTTAGCTTGGACAGGCGAGAGACTCTTTCTCTCATCGGCGCCGCCCCCCAGCAACAACAACGCTCCCGCTCGAGACTTCCCCCCTTGTTTACTCAAGGCAGTGCTCTTGCTCGCCGCCGACAGCCCCCGTCCCGAACAAACCAGCGCTCCCGCCCGATATGTGTTCCCGGTTTACGCTGGAATGGCGCCGTTTTCTCCTCCTTTTGTTCTCCTCCTTTTTCTCCTCCTCCTCCTCCTCCTCCTCCTCCTCCTCCGTAGCCATTTTGGCTCAAGTAAAACATTTTCTCGAGGTCGCGCAGGGCCCCTTTGCACGGCGGAGTCACAGGTGCCTGCCCAGGCAGACTCTGTCAAGTTTCGCTTCACTCTTGTACGCTACCTCTCTGCCACACGTTTCTTTCAGACCACGTCATGGGGAAATCTTCTTCTTCTTCTTCGCAGAGTCCTCCGCGGAGGGCCAAGGAGCGCAAGGGTGGTCGACGCAAGGACCGACGCTCTCGTTCGGATCGCAGGTCAGAATCCCCGAACCGCTACGACATGAGGACACCCTCCCCTAACGCCGAGAAGCTCAAGCCGATGTTTCGCGAGCTGATGAACGAGTTCACCGACGCCATGGAAGAGCACATGGGCGATCACATCGATACGCTACGTGGCGAGTTGAACACGGAGCTCCAGCTATTACGCAACCAGGCGGATGCCAAGGCGGCCGCCGTCCAGACCAGCATTGACACACTCACGAACAAGCAGCAGAGCTTGCACGAAAGGCTTGAGAAGCTGGAGCTTGAGCAGGTAATGAGTACACCTGACGGGCCCTCTGGTGGAGTCTCTCACGGCGATCCATGGGCACGTTTCCAGAGTGGTGGCAGTCCTCCACGAACTCAGCGTCCACCGAGCTCTTCTGGCAGCTCAGGGAACGACGAACTCAAAGTTGGGCTGCGTGGTTTTCCTCGCAAGCTAGTCGTCCCGCAGTTCAAGCGTCACTACGAGGAGAAGGTCCTCCCCCTAATGCACGAATCTATCAAGCACGCGGTCGAGCCGATCTACCACAACATGTCGTTCTCGTACATGGTTGTCTTCCCGAATAAGCAGACGGCGCAGCAGTTTAAGGATGAGTTGTCGGCTCGCAGCATGAATTGCGACTGGACCGACCCGAGGGACAACTCCGTGCACCAGATTCGCGCCGGCGTACACAAGCCTCTCGAGATCAGGAAGCGCGGATACGTACTTGGACAGCTGTGGCGCATGACCAAGCAGCACCTCTTGGACAACCACCTGTGGCGCGAGGGGATCTCCAGCTTGGGCGCCAACGCGTGCAAAGGCACGCTGTACTACTCCAACGGCATCGTGGCTTGGGAAATCTTCAAGGTCGAGGAGGCTGGCGCCGCGTACCGCATCTCCCCGGCGCTCGAAGACATCGCCCAGATCTCCATGTCCCCCGAGCTGGCTCGCGCGATGATTGCCAGGGTGAGCTTCCCATAGGATGGTGACTACGAGGATACCAGCGACGATGACACACATTTGCATGCTTTCCACCCTAGTCAACGATTTCGTGTTTGCACTTGGAACACAAAGGCTCTGTTCGGCTCGGTATATGGGGATCATCGTGCTCAAGTGCGTCGATATGCCAAGTTTCGCCGACTCGTCTCCTCTCAAGAAATTTTATGCTGTCAAGAAGTGCATGGCTCAGATGGGGATCTTGCTACGGGAGAGCGAGACTTTCCTGGATATCTGTTCTTTGGGAGCTTCTGTCAAGAAGCGAGATCAGGTGGGATCCTAACAAGTCTTGCTCCCGAATTCGCTGAGCAGTTTCACCAAATCAGCTGCGAAGTTCTTGAAGAAGGTCGGTGTCATCTTCTCACTTGCCGTGGGCCTCAAGGGGTGCTCCTCCAGGTTTGCAACCTTCATCTCGTGCCTTTTACGCCGCCGCCGAGTCCAGACAGTATCGGGACGGAACGTCCCGCACTAATGCCCACAAGTTATCCTGCCAAGCGAGCTCTTCTTCGGCGCATTCGAGGTCGGCCCCTCGATCCGCGCTGTGCGATGGTCTTCCTGGCAGGCGACTTTAACTTTTACGCCGCCGCCGAGTCCAGACAGTATCGGGACGGAACGTCCCGCACTAATGCCCACAAGTTATCGATCGATGTTGACAACATGTTTCCTGATCTTTGCGAAGTTGAACAGGATTTACCTACGCACAAGGAGGGGGTTGGTGGGGGGATCGTTTCGATGGCGAGGTTGGATAGGATTTATATCAACAGCTTTCCTGCGGTTTTTAAAGATATGCAGCCTGGGACGGGAGTCGCGGGCTTCGGGGGGTCTGACTGGCGCAGCGACCACGCGCCCGTCTTCCTTGGACTTGGCGAGCGGCGCGTGCCTCGCTATGGTCGCGTTCCTGCCTGGCTTGCTAGGGCGCCCGAGTATAAGGATTCAGTTGAGGAGGTTTTGAAGGAGGTGGTTTTAGACGGGGATGTCGGTCAGCGTCCTGATCAATACAAACATGTTTTATACGAAGCTGGTTTCAGAGCGAGGAGGAGAAGGGAGGAAAAGGGGGCTAGGTCTATTCACGATAAGACTAGCTGGATGTTTGCTGTTCTTCGGGCCGTTCGCGAGCATAAGCGAGGAGTTCTGCGTAGAGCTGTGCGCGCCTATCCCAAGCTAGCTGCGTTTGTCGACACTGATGGCGGTTTCTGGGTGGACGAGTGCGCGTTCCACAGACGCCTGCAAGTGCTCACTCTTCAAAGCCTCCAGGAAGAAGAGCTCGAGGTCCTCAACGGGTCGCTCCCCCAAGCCTCCAAGGGCGCCCACCTCAAACGCATCAATCGCATGCAACAAGCCTGGGCGAAGGTTCGAAGAGTAGCACCGCTTATAGGAATCTACGACGATCAGCAGCAGGAAATTCGAGAGCCTGCCGCCTGTGCCAAGCATCTTGCTGCAGACATGGGGGGGGGGGGGGGGGGGGGGGGGGGGGGGGGGGGGGGGGGGGGGGGGGGGGGGGGGGGGGGGGGGGGGGGGGGGGGGGGGGGGGGGGGGGGGGGGGGGGGTCATAAGGAGGAGTGGGCCTGCCTGCTGCATCCGCCTATGCCGCGTTCGATAGATTCGTGCAAGCAGCTCCTCAGCACATCGAGTGGAAGCTCTGCCGCGAGGGGTTTTTTCGAGCGCATTGGCAGATTAAAAGATTCTGCTCCTGGAGGGGATGGGATTCCATATAGCTGCTGGAAGGTGAGGGAGGTTGGGAAGGAGCTGCTCTATGAGACTTACGAATCACTACTCGACCACGGCGAATTGCCCGAGAGTCATTTAACGAACGCCTCGCTGTGTTCTTGCCGAAGGGGGGGGAGGAGAAAGACAAGGATGGGGGTGTTCCGTGCGCCGGCATGCACGAGGCCGATATCTCTTTCAAATTCCTGCGACAAGATCATTGCCAGCGCTATTGCCTTGCCACTTGCTCGAGTCGCTGTACATACGGTGGCCTCCTGTCAGCGCGGGTTTGTACCTGGCAGACAGATTGTAGACTTAGAGGCAGCGCTGCTCGAACGCGGGACGATCTACGGTTCCAGGAAAACTGCGTTGTGTTTGTTTGATGTGAAAGCGGCATTCCCCTCGGTGCACCACGCCTGGATCTCCAGAATTCTCGAAGCTATGGGGCTGCCATCGCACATCGTTCGAGCAGTGCGAGCCCTGTATGCGGATATCCAAGTGATAGTGTCTTTCAATGGCCGTCAAGACCACCGATTTCAGCTTCAACGAGGCATAAAACAAGGGTGTCCATTGAGTGGGGTGATTTTCGCGTTGATTATGGATCCAATTTTGAGGAGTATGGAGGAGGCTATTCCTGTTCCTGGGGTTATCCGAGCGTTTGCCGATGATGTTGGCCTCGAAAGCGAAGACCTGTACACGTGCCTGCCGCCTATTTTGAAGCTGTGGAGCTACGCAGCTGGAGTTGCTGGTCTCGTGCTCAATTTGCAGAAGACTGAGTTGTGCTTCCTGTTCCCCCAAAATGATATTACTGCTGAGTTTCGGTCGAGAGGAGTTCGGATTCGTCGGTTTCGAGTTGTCCCTAATGTTCTGTATCTCGGAGTTCGACTGGGGCCAGAAGCACATCTCACAGTTTGGGATAAGCCGATTGCTACATGCCGTGCTAGGGGCCCCCTCATTCGAGCTCTCCAGAAGTCTCTCGTGGGGAACATTGTGGCCTACAACACCTATGGCATCACTGTACTATCATGCATCATGCAGTTCTACCCCCTAGCACAGAAGCCCTGAAAAAAAGAGAGACGTAGTTCAGTTACTCACTGCTGCCCCGCGGTTTTCGATTCCCTCGGACGTCCTGCGCGATTTCAAGGATTTGATGTTCAGCACCGAGTGCGCAGCTTTGGCCTGGTCTGCGAGGCTGCACGATATCGCACTGCGTTTTTCTCCTCGGCATTTCATCGCGGTCGGGAAGCTCTGGCCGTAGCAGACGACAGTATTGAAAGAACCTTGGCCCCGAGTCTTCCTGAATGGCGTAAGTCTTGCATCGTGTACCAGATGATTGCGTTATATGATCGAGTATGGCAAGTTCCACGAGTGCCCCATGAGCCTTGTCAAAGCCTTCAACACAAATCTGAGCGTGCTCTGAGGCCCCTGCATTTCTGTAAATCTAATTGTAGTCGCTTGCTCCCTAGGCTCCGATACTGGTCCCCTGAGGCGCCCTCCTCTGAGGCCAATGATTTTGTTTTCCAGCTGCGTTTGTTGAATAAAGCTCTCCCTGAGTTTATAGGCATTAGTGTTCTCAAGACTGTTTGTAGTTCTTGGTGTATAACGAAGCGGTTCCGAAACGGGACCCTTCAATGCCGTCTGGGGTGTATGGCTCTCGGCGGCGATTCTCAGTCATTATCTCACTTGTCCTGTCTTCCTTGCCTCTGCCTCCCGCTTGCTCCCTTCCCTTCCCACCGAGTGGTCTCAGCTCTCCTTCGAGGATCGGGTGCTTATGAGAAGGCGCACGTGGGCCTCTGGCGAGCAACTCCGTGCTCTCGCTGTCTCGCTCGATTTGTGTCGTAGCACGTTCAACACGCAGCGAATTCAAGATAGATTTGATATGTGTCATGCGCAGTCGTTGTTTCAGGCAAGGGCCAGGGCCATCAGCAGGAGGTCTCAGCACCTGCGCGCCTTGTTCCACTAGTCGTCCTACGACCAGGAGCTCCGGCCTTTGTTTTGATCTACCTTGCTGGGTTGTCCTCCTCCTCCTCTTCCTCTCTTCGTCCCTAGTTCTCCTTCCTCATCCTCTTCCTCTTCTTTTCCCCTTTCTCCTCCTTTTCCTTCTCCTCCTCCTCCTTTTCCTCCTCCTCCCCCCTCCTCCTTCTTCTCCCTTTCCCCCCTCCCTTCTTCCTCCTCTTCCTCCCCCTCCTGCCCCCTCTTCCCCTCTTCTCCTTCCCCTTCCCTCTTCTCCTTCTTCCTCTCTCCTCCTACCCTTCCTCCCCCTGTCCTCTTCCTGCCCCCTTCCTCTTCCTCCCCCTTCCTCCTCCCCTCCCTCTTTTCCTCCCCCTTCCTCTTCCTCCCTTCTCTCTTCTTCTCCTCCCCCTCTCCTTCCCCTTCCTTCATTTTCCTCCCTCTTCCTTCCTCCACCCCCTCCTGTTTTCACTCCTTCCTCTTCCGTCCCTCTTTCTCCTCCTCCCTGTCCTCCCTCCTCCTCCTCCTCCTCCTCCTCCTTCTCCTCCTCCTCCTCCTCCTCCTCCTCCTCCCTCTCCTCCTCCTTTTCTTTCTCCTCCTCCTCCTCTTCCTCCTCCTCCTCCTTCTTCTCCCTCCTTCCCTCTCCCTCCTCCTCCCTCTTCATCCCTCCACCCCCTCCTCTTCCCCCTCCCCCCTCCTCTCTCTCCCGTCCCTCTTTCCTCCCTCCTCCTCCCTTCTCCTCCCTCCTCCTTTTCCTTTTCGTCTGCCTTGTCTCCTCCCTCCTCCGGCCTCCCTTCTCCTCCCTTCCCCTTCCGTTTTCCCTCGTCGCTCCCGTTTGATTACTCCTCACCTTTTACTCAAGAGTGGGGCCCTCGTTTCGGCTTCGCCTCTGGGGGGCTTCCAAGAGTCCCTGGTGAACATTCTTTTATTACGCAAAAGCAATAACATCTTAGATAGCATCGATAATGTGGAGGAGGAGAAGAAGAAGGATAACGGATGACCTCCAAGGACTCCAAGGATCGAGGGTCGAAGGATCGACTTCAGGGATTCCTTGAAAGGGCGTGGAAGGGGCTGGTGGAGGATGCGAGCACGGGAGCGGCAGCGCCTGGGAGCGTGAACTCTCAGGGTCACGCGCCGTGGCCGCAGGATAGTGGCGTAAAAATTTGAGCGAGGAGTAAGAACCACCTCGTCCTCGGAGATACTGCTACTAGAACTACTTCCCCTTCCTCCCCCTCCTTCCTCCTCCTCTTCCTCCTCCCTCCTCCTCCTCCTCCTCCTCCTCCTCCTCCACCTCCTCCTCCTCCTCCTCCTCCTCCTCCTCCTCCTCCTCCTCCTCCTCCTCCTCCTCTCCCTCATGCCCCCTCCCCTCCTCGCCCTCTTCCTCCCCCCTCCTCCGAGATGCGGGGCGTGCGCGACTGCGATTGCGATGGCGATGCGCCGTCCGAGCTGCGGATGGCGAAGTTCCTCGGAAGAGAGGGTGGCACGATTTTCTTGGGCGGGAGATCTGGGCGATGGAATATCGGACCCCGCGCGCCGGTACAATCCCACCTGATGGGGCGTGGTGTCCAGAGGGATGCTTGTGACATCTGGAAGCATGGTACATGATGGTAAAACGGACGGTTGCTGTTGTCCTTGTTGTTGCTGTGTGTTGTTGCTCGTTGTCGCCATCCCCCCTGTGGCCCGCCCGCGACCTGCCCGCGACCCACCCCGCCACCCACCCCGCGATCCACCCCGCGACCCGCCCCGCGACCCAGCCTTTGACCCGCCCGCGACCCACCCGCGACCCACCCCGCGACCCGCCCGCGACCACCCCGCGACCCACCCCGCGATCCACCCCGCGACCCGCCCGCAACCCACCTCGCGACCCACCCCGCGAACCACCCTGCGATCCACCCCGCGACCCAGCCCGCGACCCACCCGCGACCATTGCGCGACCCACCCCGCGACCCACCCCGCGACCCACTTCCGACCCACCCCGCGACCCGCCCGCGACTCACCCGCGACCCGCCCCGCGCGAACCCACCCGACCCAAACCCGCGCACCACCACCCCGCGACCCACCCCGAACCCCCCGCGAACCCACCCACCGCGACCCACCCGTGACCCGCGGACCAATGCGCGACCCACCCGCGAGCCACCCGCGACCCACCCCGCGACGCACTCCGCAACCCAACCCGCGACCCACCCGACCCACCTGCGACCCACCCGCGACCGCCCGCGACCCATCCCGTGACACGCTGGCGACCCACCCGCGACCCGCGACCCACCCCGCGACCCACCCGCGACCCGGCCCGCGACCCATCCGCGACCCACCCCGCGACCCACCCACATTGCTTTAACGCAAAATCGGCGCCTACGGAAGGTTCACCGCATAATTTGCAAGAGGGAGGCGCCTGCGGCGGGCTTCTTCAGAGCCTCGCAGTCTAACGACGTCCTCGCCGCCCCCTTCATTCATATCCGCAGCTGCGGGGTGCTACGTATTTTGCGACGTTCCCAAGCCATTGGCACCAAGTGATGATATAACGCGTGTCGGCAATAGCGTGACAGCAACGCTGCAAGAGTGTGCGCGCGGCGGATATCTAAATCGAGCGAAGTGTGCGTGGCCGACTCGCAAAGCAGAGGTACAAAACGCCAGGCTGCATTGAACTGGGAAGGAGAAGCAACATAAGCATTTCGGGGTGGAATCACAATCACCTCGGCAGAAGCAACGACAGAATGGAGCATGGGCAAGATAAGGTCACAGAGGCGTAGACGCAACCACACAATGAAGCCTCGCGTTTCTCTCCATGCCGACATGGTCAACACCTGCGCGGCAAGCCCCCCCCCCCGCCCCAGGGATGGCGAGGTCCTCGGGGTTCGCGTGGGACCCCATGGTGCTGGCCCCCTGTAGCCTTCAACCGTGGCTACAGTTCCCAGCCCCCCCCAGGGGATGGCGGGGTCCCAGGGCCTCTCCGGCAGCCTTCGAAAGTAACGACAGTTTCCCAGGGGTGGCGAGGTTCTGTTTGGGTCTGCGTGTGGCCCCACCTCCCCCAGCAGCCTTCGAAAGTGGAAGAGCGGCGAAAGTTTTAGATGCCGCAGCCCCCCAGGGGTGGCGAGATCCCGTTTGGGATGGCGCGGGGCCCGAGTGTGCGGGTTCCCCTAGGAGCCCTCGAACGTTGCGACCGTTTCGCATTTCGCGGTCCCCAACAAGGATGCGAGAGCAGAGAGCCGAGAGGAGAGCGGGGGGGGCGAGGAGGAGGAGAAGGGAGTTGGTGTTCCATTGCTCTATTCAAAAATATCCCGGTGCGACCCTACCTAGGAGTTGGAGCATTTAGGAAAGCAACATCTACATCTACACCGACAGCTACAGTTACATCTACACCTGCATCTACATCTACATCTACATCTACAAGAGCTGCAGGCTGTTCAGCACTGCAGGTCCGGCTGTGCGTTGCTTGTGTTTTGCTTTGCTGTTGTTGCTGTTGATTTGCCGTTGCTTTGTTGCTGTGCTATGCTATGCTATGCTATGCTATGCTATGCTGCGCTATGCTATGCTATGCTATGTTATGCGTTGTTATGCTGCGATATGCTGTGTTATGCTGCGCTATGCTGTGCTATGCTAGGGTATGCTAGGGTACGCTCGGTTGCGCTGTGTTATGTTAGGCCATGTTATGCCATGCTATGATGCGCTATGCTATGCTATACTATGCTATGCTGCGCTATGCTATGCTATGCTATGATGCGCGATGCGATGCTATGCTATGCTATGCTATGCTATGTTGCGCTATGCTATGCTATGCTATGCTATGTTATGCTATGATGCGCTGTGCCGTGCCGTGCCGTGCTATGCTATGCTGCGCTGTGCTATGCTGAGCTATGCTTGGCTATGTTTGGCTATGCTATGCTATGCTATGCTGTGCTAATGCTGCTCTGCGCTATGCTGCGCTAAGGTAAGCTAAGCTATGCTAAGCGAAGCGAAGCCAGGCTAGGCTAAGCTAAGCTAAGCTAAGCTATGATAAGCCAAGCCAAACTAAGTTAAGCTAAGCTAAGCTAAGATGAGCTAAGCTAAGCTTAGCTAGGCTAGGCTAGGCAAAGTTAAGCTAAGCTAAGATGAGATAAGCTAAACTAATCTAAGCTTAGCTTAGCAAAGCTAAGCGGGGTGAACCCAGGGGGCGCAACTGGGGGAACCGCGGGGCGGATGCCGGGGGAACCGCCCGGGGCGTTTTACACTGCCCGGCCCCTTGAAGATATAGTGTAAGAACCCTTTAGGCAGAGCCTAGGTAGGGAACGAAAGTCCGACCAAAGAGGGGTTGGTAACAATACAGAGTCGACATTTTCGTGTTCAGCATTGACATTTTGTGGCCCATCTTGCAAACAGGGTGGCAGGAATGGGACGGGGCGTACATCCCGCGCGAAAGTCCATACTATCGCTTTCCTCTCGGCGCCGCCATCAGTGTCCAAGAGAGTTGCGCTTCCGTGTGGGCGGGGCGCACATTTTTCGCGCGCACCTTCGTCGACCCGCGAGCAGACGAACGTATCGATCTCGCTTCGGCGCCGTGTTCATTTCGCTTGAATGTGGCACTTCCGACTCAGCGCGGCGCATATGTTTGATTCGTTGCTTTTTGTTCAGGGTCCCGCACGAGCGGGCGAGTTGTCGCTCTCCGCTCGCTGCCGGCACGCATGCGGCGTGTCTGCATCCCTACTTCGACGCACGCATTCGGTGTGTCTGCCCACGCGCCCACACAGCTCAGTGATGGTGGTGGTGGACGTGTAGGCCCCCCCTGAGATCCGACGCTGCGAAAACAATGAAACATTGAGAGAAACCACAACTGGAGCCCTAGACCCCATCTTTCTGCGGCACGTCTCGAGCCGGACCGATCTGCGAGTGTCCTGGGTCCCGAAACCGAGCATAAACGCCTGGCGCGAGCCACTTGCAACGCCCCCTCCGCCCCACCCCCCCTCCGCCCGCCCGTAACAGGCAATCGCAGCCCGCGTCAAGGAAGTCCCCGAGGGCGGGTCCATCTCCGTGGAGACGACGGTCGGGGGCCGAGACGAGCGGCGGCTGCTCCGCGTCTCGAGGCCCGGCCGCCGCCGCCGTCGTCGTGGCCCCCGTGGCGGTCCAGGGGGCGGCGCCGTCGTCGCAGTGGTCCAAGTCGGAGCGTGGTCGTCGTCGCGGTCGTGGTCGGCGCCATCGTCGCTGTGGCCCTGGTCGCGGCGGCCGCTGCTGGAGCGTGGTCGCTGCCATCGTTGCAGTGGCCCTGGTCGTGGCGGTCGTCGCCAGAGCGTGGTCGGCGCTCTCTCGTCGTCAGTGTTTCCCTTGGTGGCGGTGGTGGTGGGTTGAGTTCGCCCTTGGAGCCGTCGTCGTCGGGACGAGTAGGGCCAGCAGCAGCGGCAGCGGCGGTGGAGTGAGTCTGTATAATTCGCTCTCTTGCTCTCTTGCTCTCTTGCTCTCTTGCTCTCTCTCTCTCTCTCTCTCTCTCCTCTCTCTCTCTCTCTCTCTTACATATTTACATATGTACATACATGTATCCATGTATTTACACATATATGTATCAGATTGAGGGGGCGAACGGTCATTCAGGTTCCTTGGGTGCGTGGCTGACGTGGAGATCCGTGGTGAGGATTCTGCCTGTTGCGTTGTTGGTGTTGATGTTGTTGTTGGTGTTGTTGTGGTAGTTGTTGTTGTTTACGCTGCTGCTGCTGCTGTTGTTGTTGTTGTTGCGGTTGTTGTTGTTGTTGTTGTTGTTGTTGGTGTTGTTGGTGTTGTTGTTATTGTTGTTCTTGTTGTTGTTGCATGTTATCGTCGTCCCCCCTGCGACCCTCCCGCGACCCACCCGCGACCCACCCCGCGACCCACCCTGCGACCCATCCCGCGACCCACCCCGCGACCCACCCCGCGACCCACCCGCGACCCACCCGCTACCTACCCGCGACCCATCCCGTGACCCAACCCGCGACCCACCCGCGACCCACCCTGCGACCCACCCGCGACCCACCCGCGACCCAACCGCGACCCAATAATGACCCACCCGCGACCCACCTCGCGATCCACCCACGTTGCTTTAACGAAGAGTCGGTACCAGCGGAAGGCTCAGTGCATACATTGCAAGAGGTAGTCGTCTGCCGCGGGCTTCTTCAGAGCCTCGCAGTATGACGACGTCCTCGCCGCCCCCTCATTCTTATCCGCAACTGCGGGGTGCTACGTATTTTGCGACGTGCCCAACCCATTGGCACCAAGGGATGATATAAGGCGCGCCGACAATAGTGTGCCAGCAGCGCTGCAAGAGTCTGCACGGCGGATATCTAAATCGTGCGAAATGTGCGTGGCCGACTCGCAGAACAGAGGTACAAACGGCCAGGAGGCATTGTATTGGGAAGGAGAAGCAAAAGAAATACATCGGGATGCGATAACAAGAACCTCGGCAGAAACAGCGACATGATGGAGCATGGGCAAGATCAGATTACATAGGCGTAGACGCAACCAGACAATGAAGTCTCGCGTTGTTTTCCATACGGGGGCGGTGGGGGCGTCGGCCGTCTGCGAGACTCTGGAAAAGCCCGCCGCAGGCGCCTAAGTTTTACAAAGTATACAAAGAGCCCGTGGATCGCACATGGGTTGCGGGTGGGTCGTTGTTGAGTCGCGGTTGGGTCGCGGTTGGGTCGCGGCTGGGTCGCGGGGTGGGTCATGGGTGGGGGTGGGTCGCGCGTGGGTCGCGGGGTGGGTCGCGGGGTGGGTCGCGGGGGGGGTCGCGGGGGGGGGCGCGGGGGGGTCGCAGGGTGGGTCGCGGGGTTGGTCGCAGGGAGGGTCGCGGGGAGTGGTCGCGGGGGGGGTCGCGGGGGGGGGTCGCCGGGTGAGTCACGAGGTTGGTCGCGTGGTGGGTCGCGGGGTGGGTCGCGGGTGGGTCGCGGGTGAGACGACGACAACAAACAGCAACAACGCAACAAACATAATCCTCACCACGGATCGGACCCACCAATAACAACAGCAACAACAAACAACCTCCTCACGACGACACAAGCAACAAGAACAACGCAACAACCATAATCCCACTTCAGCCACGCACCCAGGCACAATGAATGACCGTTCGGACCCCTCACTCTAATATACCATAGCACCCCGCAGATGCGGATAAGAGTGAGGGGGTGGTGGGGGCGTCGGAAGTCTGCGAGACTCTGGAGAAGCCCGCATGAGGCGCCAAAGTTTCACAAAATGTACAACGAGCCCGCCACAGGCGCCGTTTTTTTTTTAACCAATGTGGGTAGTCGCGGGTGGGTCGCGGGTGGGTCGCATATGGGTCGCGGTTGGGTCGCGGGTGGTTCGCGAGTGGGTCGCGGGGTGGGTCGCGGCTGGGTCGCGGCTTTGTCGCGGGGTGGGTCGCGGGTGGGTCGCAAGTGGGTCGCGGGTGGGTCGCGGGTGGGTCGCAGATGGGTCGCGGTGTTGGTCGCGGTTGGGTCGCGGGGTGGGTCGCGGGTGGGTCGCGGGTGGGTCGCGGGGTGGGTCGCGGGTGGGTCGCGGGGTGGGTCGGATGGGTCGCGAGGTGGGTCGCGGGGTGGGTCGCGGGGTGGGTTGCATTTGGGCCGCGGGTGTGACGACGACAACAAACAACAACAACGCAACAAGCAGAATCTTCACCACAGATCCCCACTTCAGCCACGCACCCAGGGACAATCAATGACCGTTCCGCCCCTTCTCTCTGATATGCCACAACACCTCGCAAATGTGGATAAGAGTGAGGGGCCGGTGGGGACTTCGGCAGTCTGCAAGACTCTGGAAAAGCCCGCCGCAGGCGCCTAAGTTTTACAAATTATACAAAGAGCCCGCTGCAGGCGCCGCTTTTCTCGTTAAACTAGTGTTGGTGGGTCGCGGGTGGGTCGCAGGGTGGGTCGCAGGGTGGGTCGCGGTTGGGTCGCTGTTGGGTCGTTGTTGGGTCGTGGCATGGTCGCGGGGTGGGTCGCGGGATGGGTCGCGGGTGGGTCACAAGTGGGTCGCGGGTGGGTCGCGGGTGGGTCGCAGGTGGGTCGCGGGGTGTGTCGCGGGTGGGTCGCGGGGTGGGTCGCGGGTGGGTCGCAGGTGGGCGCGGGGTGGGTCTCGGGGTGGGTCGCGGGTTGGGTCGCGCGTTTGGTCGCAGGTGGGTCGCGGGGTGGGTCGCGGGGTGGGTCGCGGGTGGGGTCGCGGGGTGGGTCGCGGGGTGGGTCGCGGGTGGGTCGCAGGGTGGGTCGCGGGTTGGGTCGCGGGTTGGGTCGCGGGGTGGGTCGCGGGTGGGACGATGACAACAAACAACAGCAGCGCAACAAGCAGAATTTTCACCACGGATCCCCACTTCAGCCACGCACCCAGGGACAGTGAATGACCGTTCGGCCCCCTGTGTTGGATATGGTTGTTTATATGTACAGATGTACATATATATACATATATATATATATATGTGTGTATGTATGTATACATATACATGTACATAACCATACATATAATCATGTATATGTATATACATATATATATATATCTCATAATGAGGGGGGCGAACGGTCATTCATTGTCACTTGGTGCGTAGCGGAAGTGGGATTCCGCGGTGATGATGTTCCTTGTTGTTGTTCTTGTTGTGGTTGTTTGTGTATTTGTTTGTTTTTCATTTGTTTGTCTGTTTGTTTCTTTGTTTGTTTGTTTGTTGTTCGACCCACCCGCGACCCACCCGCGACCCACCCCGCGACCCACCCCGTGACCCACCCCGCGACCCACCCCGCGACCCACCCCGCGACCCATCCGCGACCCACCCCGCGACCCATCCGCGACCCACCCCGCGCCCACCTGCGACCCACCCCGCGACCCACCCTGCGACCCACCCCGCGACCCACCCTGCGACCCCACCCGCGACCCACCCCGCGACCCACCCGCGACCCGGCCCATTACCCACCCGCGACCCAACCGCGACCCACCCACTACCCACCCCGCGACCCACCCGCATTGCACATTGCTTTGACGCAGAAATCGGCGCGTGCGGTGGGCTCACTGCATAATTTGCCAAAGTTAGGCGCCTGCGGCGGGCTTCTTCAAATGCCTCAAAGACTGCCGACGGTCTCGCCGCCACCTCAATCTTATCCGCAATTGCGGGGTGCTACGTCTATCCGTCTAAGTATAAGTAATTTGTTTCATATGAACATATATCCCTCTCTCCCTCCCTCTGCTTCTCTCCCTCTCCCTCCCTTTCTCTTCCTCCCTCCATTTCCCTCCCTCCTCCCTCCCTCTCCCCGTCTCTCCTTCCCACTCTATCTTTTTTTTTTTCTCTCTCTCTCTCTCTCTCTTTCTCTCTCCCTTTCTCTCTTGATTACCCCCGCGCATCTGCTCTGGCCGTGCACCTCCTCGCCCGCCCCGGTCGCAGGCTGGTGCACGCCGTCGCCAGGGCTCTCCACTGGCAGGCGAAAGCGGCCCGGCTCGCCTCCCACGCCTGCGATGCGGCCTCTTGGCCAAGCCGAGCCTGTCATCATCTTCGTCGTCCTCCTCGTCGACGACGACGATAGCGAGGCCGAGGAGGACGCGAAGGACGACGAGGAGGAGGAGGAGGCCGACGACGCCGAGGACGATGAGGAGGCGTCGTCGCCGCAGCCGGGGCCGTTTTCGACGTCGTCGCTGCCATCACAGGTCGAGAAAGCATGCCGCATGCGCAGAGCGTGCTGGAGCCAGAACGCCATGCCAAAGCAAGACGGCCCTCGGCAGGGAGGCCAAACCCGAGCACGCGGGCCGATACTTGTCGCATCGCTTGCAACGAACGGCAAGCCGGTCTCTCTTGCCCAGGGTCATCCGTGCGTGTACCTGCGGTGGGTGTTTCGTCGTCGTCGTGGTCGTCACCGTCGTTGTCTTCATCATCGCCGCTGCGTCGCGGCTGGGATGGGCCGATGGCTGTCCTGGCACCGTCGGCGGCAGAGGCGCCCGGACAGTCCCGCGTTATCAGGGGATGGAGGATCCCTAGGCCAGGACTTGTACATGTGGGCGCTGGTGCAAAGTTCGGCCGACCTGATGGGGGCCAACGATATTAAGAAAATGCTCCCCCCCCATCCCGGGGGCCCCAACATGAATGAGTGGGGCAGGCTAATAGAATTCAGCCGCCGGAAACTGTTTTTTTCATCGTCTGCCCCCCTGGCCTTATATTTTGCCGCCTTGCGGAAACTGATTTTCTATTCGTCCTCCTGCGTTCGTTTGATCACCCGCGGCCGCGGGAGGAGGATTGCGGAGAGGGGGCGCCAAAAGCGCCGCCAGGGAGTCGCAGCGCAGATCCAGGAAATCCACGGAGGACCGCCGAAAGTTTGTGTTTATGCAGTTGTTTTCATCCCCGACTTAAGAACCAATCTGAGGACGGCCCAGCTGTCGTCCCGCGGACGGCAGCTGGAGCCTGAAAATGAGGTCAGCGCTGCACCTGGACCAGCGTGTCCGAAGAACCGAAGAACAAGTCCGGATTGAACAACAGAAATGAACAGCTGGCACTCCCCCAATCCTTTGCGAAAACACAGCACGCGTGAGGATTCGAACCGAGCGGAAGCTCGAACATGAGGCCAGCGCTACAGCGGGAACAACATATTGGAAGAGCTGGACACGTTCCGATTGAAACAACAAATATGAGAAACGAATTCGCGCCAAACCTGTGTGTACTGAAAACCACCTTGCGCGGAGGGTGCAGGCAAGCATCCAGAGTGCATCAGGGGAAAACGGGGAATAGCACTCATACCGAATATCTGTGGAGGAACGATACTCAGCAGGGGGAAGGTGACAAGGGATAGAAAAGCGGTGGGAAAGAGGAGGGGGAGGAGGAGGAGGAGGAGGAGGAGGAGGAGGAGGAGGAGGAGGAGAAGGACGAGGAGGAGGAGGAGGAGGAGGAGGAGAAGGACGAGGAGGGGAGGAGAATAGGAAGAGGAGGTGGGGAAGGAGGTCGCTGCCTGAAGGCGGCGCAGAATGCCTGCCTTCTGCGCAGGACTGGCGGACCAGAAACTTCGACTTCCCATCTAGGGCTGGCCAACAGCAGCCCCCGCGGCCTCGAAGTGTCCGCCCCTGCGGATTCGAATCGTCAGCCCGCGAAGTCCTTCCCAGCTTTTGCTTGCCTGGCTTTGAATTGACCCCCCGCCCCCCCCCGCCATGCATTGTCAGCCCGCGCCCCGCCCACCCGGCCTCCAGACAACCCGGGATTTTCCGCCCTCCGTCTGCCTGCCCCGCCCCCCCGCTATTGCGGTGGCCCGATGGCCCGCGAAACTATTTTCTTAATCGCTCGCCCCAGCAAGTTTGTTTTAATCGTTTGCCCCCATTCAATCGAGCAGAAAGTTCACGGTCGGCTTTTTCTTCGGAGCGCGTCGATGTCGGCCAGGTCTTGATTTGGGGCCCCGGACGGGCCCCAGACAGTCGTGCCCCCCACAAGCGCATTCAGGAACAGCGCCACCGTAGAGAATTTATCTCCGCGTGCATACCCATCGCCTTTGCGATCGATGTCCCATGCATGGCCCCAGGAGGCAGTGGATATGGATTCTTGTAGGGCCCCGGGATGGCCGCAGGATCTACACGTCCAGTGCCTGAGGAGTTCTGGGCCATTGATTCCCAAGGCAGTTGGCATTTATCATGTCTGGCATCGTAGTCATTATTCCCCACCCGTCACGTTGGGGTTGCCAGGCTTGAAGAAAGGAGCTCCCGACCCGCCTCGCACACCCCGCATACCGCGGCCGCCAGGCCCAAATTGTGCCGGCGCTCCCTGGTTACTCCACTTTGTGCCTTCGACGAATGGCGGCATCATACCGCGGCCACCAGGCCCACAGTGTACCGGTGCTCCCTGGGTATCCCACCTCGGTTTTTGTGTAGGCGTAGATCATTCCAAGCAAGATAGTTTGGTTTTTGGTTGTCTGTTCCTCCCCTATCGGGGTACCTCTAAGACTCTTGAGGTCCCTGAAAGCTTCCTGAGGCAGAAGCAGCAGAAAAGGTGTGGCAACATATTAGATCGGTAATAATCTCAGGGTGGAGGAGGAGGCGGAGGTGGGAAGTTTCGTTTGCTTCCTCCCCCGATCATGACCGCCAGACGTTCCCATGCAGACGTCTCTGGACCCCCCAGAGAAGCATGAACGGGCCAGGAGCGTTCAAAAACCTTCAGATAGCGCCTATGGCAATCGTAGCGGGCGGAGCAAACGCTAACCCAGACCCCCCCGCGTCGTGATTTGTTCACCACAAGGCGCTGCTTCCTGGAGCCCTCCTGGACCGTCTCCCTGGGACAAGAACTGGTTTTCCATCTCGAGTCGATTTTTCACGGTCATGGGACCCAGCGCCAGCCCGGAAAGGTCGAAGACCTCCCGAGTTCTCTCACAACGGAAGGTCCCCGAGCTGCAACGTGGCGAAACAGTTGCAACATTGTGAGCAAGAGCGACTTGGGCCCCAGATCCCACCTCTTTTGAGCCGTTTGGATCGATCTGTGAGGGCCCGGTGGCCCGCCACCGGGCGACGGCGCCCTTGCTCGAATAGCAGGCTGGGGCGCCAGGACCTCGCGGGTGGCCTGGGGCTGGCACGGCCCGGCCGCCGCTCGGCGCCGGAGCCGCCTGCCGCGGCCGCCTTGAGGGGCGCGCAGTGGGGGGGCGACAAGTGGGGGGGGGCAGCGAGGGCTGCCGGAAAGGGGCCCTTCAGGGGCCCCTGAAGGGGGCCTTCAGGGTCTGCCCCCTCCCCAGTGATCGCCCCCCCCACCCCCCATGGACTTCGCGCCCGAGGCCCCTTCCCTCCCCCCCTTCTCCGCCCGACCCGCGCAGTGCAAGAGCTCTCCCGCGGCGCAGCGTCGCCCTGTGCTGGCCGACCGACCTGGTACGCGAGAGACGCTCCTCCACGACCCGGGGGGGATGGCCTGGGGCCTGCCACGGCCCAGCCGCCGCTCGGCGCGAGAGCTGCCCGCCGCGGCCCCAAGGTGAGCCCCGTGGATGCCACGCGGCCGACGCGGCCGTTCCGGTGCGCGGCGTCCCTGGTGGGCGACCAGGCGGCCTCGGCGAGCGGGGCGGGGGCGTCCATAGGCAGCGCCTTTGGTGGGGGTGGTGGCCAAGCTTGCTTCGCAAAGCATCCCACCCTCTGCGGGGGGACGGAGACCCAGACCTCCAAAGAATCTTGAGCAAAGTCAAGACGGAGATTGGTCATCGGTTCTGGCGTCCCAGGGACAGTCAAAAAGCAATCTGGCATGAAGAACGGGTTTCCCAGAAGTGGTCCAGAACTTCAGGGACAGCATGCTGACGTCGGGTGTCTGGGGAGCGCTCTATTCCGCCCGGAAGTGAGGTATAGTCGGGAATCAGGGGTCTGGCCAAGCCCTGCCGACGGCGCTCCCGTGTCAAGCAAGCGGCGAAGCATCCTTTTGTGCGCACGGGCGAAGGGTGTGGTCGCCACCCCAGGGGAGTCGCCGGCTCTCGGTGAGGATTGTGTGGTTCCCCAATCTCCGACGGTGTTATTGTTGTTGCTCCATCGCGTTTTTTTCCAGTCGCTGCTCAATTTCGACCTCTGGGGGCCGCTGTTGGGCCGAGGGGTCATCAAAAGTTCGTCCAGGACGAAGAACTTGCCCCTGGAAGTGGTCGGGACCTACTAGATGGCGGGTTGGAAACCGCAGATCGGCGAATGCCTGGGTCTGTGGATGGTGAATCGAGCGCGTTGTCAACTGAGCTTCAGCGTTGTGGGAGGCCCGAGGTGTGTGTGTGTGTGTGTGTGCGTGTTTGCGTTGGGCCCGCATTCTGGAGGACCTAACGGTGACCCCGACTGCAAAGGCAGCAGGTGCGTCCTCAGACTTCCGACGCTGCAGTTGAATTCAATCCTCACGTTCTCATGGAGAGGAACAGATCCCCTAACCCCAATAGCACGATGACGACGTGGCCTCATTTAGGCCCCCGTCTTCGCATTTGGGATAATAACTCTGGTCGGTTTGGGCTGAGATATTTGCACTAATGTTTCAGGCCCTCCTGGCCTATGCCCCCTCAGACCAATCTAGCAGCCACTTGGGGACTGCCTTGGGCCGTCTTGTGGCCGTCTTGTGTTTGTATTGCGGCGGGTACGAGCACTGGGGAAAAATGGCAGGCGCGATGCTCGAAGAGGTCGTGCCCTAAGGGGGCAATATCTGGAATACTACGGACACCCCACCGGACAAGTGACATACGTCTTACACGAACATACTCATCTACATGTCTTTGACACTGAGGCGGATCAAGCACCTGTAGGACGAATGATTACATACAGGTGAAACCAAAGTTGGTTACCTCGCGCATGCCCATGTCGGTTCCGTTTCTCAGGGCGCGTCAGCGAGACCTCGTTTCGGGAGTCTTAGAGCCATACGTATATGGCTGCGGTGAAACCGTTTTGCGACGGAGGTTTTCATGGCAGCCATATGTATCTGTCAATGTATATGGATTTTGAAATCAGAAGCCATTCGTATATGCCATTGAGTCATCGCGGAGTTGTTCTTAGGTTGTTTAGGGATTGAGTTTGTGACTTCGAGTGGGCGTTTAGATGTCGGTGTGTGAGAAGACGCCTGGGGTTGCCCTGGCCGAATGTCGTGGAAGCTGCCTCTGCAAACAGCATCTTGAGATGTCGATGCCTCGTGCATTCTCAGTAAAGCGCGAAGAGAGAAGCTGCGAAACAGGTGGTAGTGCTGGTTTGTTTTTCTTCTGCACCCCTGGGAGCAAGTCTACCTGAACACCCTCCCGCTCCAGCCAGCGCCTGTCTCTCTGAGCGGGTTCTTTCATTGATGGTTCGTTACTATGGCTTGCCCCGGGCCTTTTGTCGCGGTCTTGGGGCTGGGATAGCAGCTGGGACCTGCCTCGTCGTCCAGCTCTCACGAGATAACTCGAGTTCCTTCCCTATTAGAGCCAGATGGCATACAGTGGCCATCTGAGTTGACGATGAAACAGCGCTCTGATGCACGTGCGGCATCGTTCATCCCCAACTCGCTCTGGCTGCATGTTTTGTTGGCTGCGTTTTTCGTTTACGTTGCATTGTTAGCTATTCCTGTAGCAATCTGGGCTTCCCCCGTGGCGCGCACTCGCCCGTGCGCAAAGCCATGGGGCAGATTTCTGGCGAGGTGAGTCGGCATACATCCCAGCAGAACGAAGCAGCCTCCCTCGCAGCGGCAATCGGTGATCGCGGGCGCGGGAAGCAGTGGAATGTGGCGCTTGGGCTTTTTCGTGACGCGCTCCGATCGCATGTAGAGGTCATCTGGAGGACGCCGGCTACAAACCGACACAAAACCTGGCTAGGTTCGCCCTTGCGTTGAAAGAGGCCAGGCATCGAATTCGACCCCATTTCAGGCTCATGATGCCTGTGGACCTTGCCCAGGTTATGTGTCTGCGTATGGCTGGTATTCCCTTGAGGTCAACACTGTACTCTACAACGTTGTGATCAGCGCGTGTGGAAGAAGCGGGCAGTGGCAACATGCGCTGTCGATCTTAGGCGAGCTGCAGGACACGATATTAGAGCCCAGTCTGGTCAGCTTCAGTGCTGGGATAAGCGCGTGCGAGAAAGGTGGACAGTGGCAGAACGCATTGTCTTTGTTGGGTAAGTTGTGCAACGCAGCACTTGAACCAGACACGGTCTGCTTCAATGCGGGAATCAGCGCTTGTGCAAAGAAAGGGCGATGGAAGCATGCGTTAAGTTTGTTGCGTGAATTGTGGAAAGTTGTGTTGGAGCCTACCATCATCAGCTACTCTGCCGGAGTCAGCGCGTGCGAGAAAGGCGGACAGTGGACGCACGCACTCGCGCTGTTGAGGGAGGTGTGGGAGTCAACATTGGAGCCGAACGTGGTGTGCCACAGCGCTGGCATCAGTGCTTGTGAAAAAGGAGGGCAGTGGCAACACGCATTGTCATTGTTGAGGGAGTTATTCGGAATGCCAGAGCCACGTCCGCCGCCCCTTCAGTATTTTGAGATTGCGGTTGGCCCACATGGTCGCTGGCCAACAAC